CTCAGACATAAGTGTTTATATATTTAATGGCACTGACTGTAATGTAAGTGTGAAAAAAAAATCATAGCCTAAGACAGTAAAATTACATATGCATTTACTTGGGAATAAAAAGAACTAGTTATAAAATAGCACTGTTGAATGAAAAAGGGGCATATGAAATTTTCTAAAATTGCATATTCTGTTCCAGGGAACATAGTCATACTGACCTAATACCCCCATAGCCAAGCCTCCTAAGGCAAACCCCATTGCATTGCCTCTTTCTTCATCATCAGTATATACACTTGCTAGCATACCCATCCCTGCATAAAAAGAAAAACAAAATAAAAATCACTAAAGTTGTCTTCAACAGACAGGAAATTACACTGAGATATGATCAATCACCTGTGAAACATTTATCTTCACATATCCAATAAACTGAACTTGGAAAATCTCTTAAGATCAGGAGAGTGGGGGGCAAGAATTCTCTCCAAATGTGTCTCTTTGGCAGTCTCTTTAACACAATGGGGGCTTTAATACAAAGGAGAGAGATGCCTTTTTATTAACTTGCCCTTCTCTATGCAACCCCTGTGCCCTTCCCTAGGCAATAAAGAAAGTGGTATGGAGGAATGCAGAATGGATATAACCTGCAATTCTCAAGAACGTAAAGAATTCTAGAAATCTAGAATGAATGCAACAAACTATGCATTCTAAATGATACAGTATATATTAAATCTACCTGACCTGAAAAATGGTTTTTACGTTTTTAAAAGCAAAAGAAAAGATCATAATCATTCTTAAGAAATGCAAAGTTGTTTATAATTAAAAGCCTCATCTAATTATATAAAAATATTAAAAATAAAATGGTTTGCAAGTTGATAAAATCCTTAATAAAGAAAAGAATAAACAGCTAACCCCTATGGTAATATACATGTTAGAAACCTACCAGCTACAGAAGAACAAGAGGAACCCACACCTTGGAGAGCTCTTGCAATCACAAGCAATTTATAGCTTTCTGAAAAGGCAAACACTTGGAAAAAAGCAGGAGGAAACATTAAAAAAACAAAGGATTAACTCTATCTAAATTTAAAAGTTATATTTATACCATTGTATTATTAACATTCATTTAAGTTGAGTTCTCTGTGACTATCATGGAACTTTCAAGGCTAACTGCATTATTTTCTCTTATTCCATTTAGAATTATTATTGCTGAAATGTTTTGCTCTTGTTCAGCTTCTTGGTGATACAATATAAAAGAAAGAAGTGCTAGGAAGCTTCTTATCAAAGCAGTATCTATTCCAATATTTCACAAAACCTTCCCCCAGTCAAGGTACAATTTAAGTGGTCTAGCAGAAGTTCCTTGCTGAAAATAGGCAAGCCATTTCCAAACCTCTGTGGGGAATATGTATTTCTATATAATAAATAGAATGATACAACTGAAGAACCACTCTAATGAATGAGAGGCATTCAAATGCATTCCTCTTTCCATCGGGCTGTGGTTGGTTTTCATCTGGCAAGTAAGAATAGGTAAGATTAAAATGCCTTATTTTTCCATCCACTCTGTCCCTTCTGGTCCAACAGTATGGACTGTATAAGAAGAGAAAGCATTCAAGCTCAGAGCATGTCCTAAGCGGCAAAAGGAATGGCTATGTGAATACTACATTATTATGGCACAGTTAGAATCTATGGAACAAAGTCTTGTCTTCACTCATGTTCTGCCCAGCAATTCAGCTTCTCTAGTGAAAGCTTCACATACTCTTTAGAATCAAAGGTTATCCAGATCTGACAATGTAAAACAATGTTTTGTTCCTATTTCTCTTTCTCTTCTGTAATACTTGGAGATATGGGACAGAGAAAAACAACACTTACTAATTGTTGAAACAAACATGATGCAGAAGCCAGCAAACATGGGGATCTGATAGCCTATTCTGAAAAACAAAATCAATACCACATTTTTATATATGTTTTTCTATATCTGCAAGAGCTGTTCTAAGTTTTTTTTAGGAATCTCAAAATGATATTTTATAACGGGGCTAGGCAACTTTTTTGATGGCCAGAGAAGAATTTTGAGGGGGTAAGGATCTGTGTGGGCATGTTGCTCATGCAAAGTGAATGGAACCACAAAAGAATTTTTGCCAGATTGCAAATTTTGTTTTATTTCAGTAAGGGCTCTGGCTTACCTTCAGTTAGCTGGCCTGTCTGTAATAGACTACAGATGTATAATTAAATTCAAGAAATTGCTTCAGTGAGAAAACACAGCACGTGGCAGTGCAAAACTTTAATATTGTAACAAGGCTTCATAATACTGTAGCCAATGGGGGACGGGGGGTACCTCAAAGCCAGGAAGATGTTGGATGTAAACCCACTACCTCTGCATGTGCCCAAATGATACCAGAAACCTCTTTACAGATCTCCACAAATTAGAGATCATTTGTTTCAAAACTCACAATTTATTTTATTAACTTAGCATGTAGCATTAACTTCACATATCAATAATGTATTTGCACCACTAGAGAAATACAGAAATAGAAATAGGGTTCCTATTTCCTGGTGTTCCAGGAGATGGCTCCACACTGGTCTTTTATGAGATGCTAAAAACAAGTAGGGCTCCAGGCAATTCTCTACCAATTCTTCATCAAAACATCCATTCAGCACCAGATGATATAAACAGCAACGTACTATGATTTTGCACCTTGAGTCCTTTCCACCAATGGAAAATAAAAGAGGGGAACTTAGAGACAACCTTGTGCAACAATGTTTTTTTACAACTGCTTCCACCCTTTTCTAACGTATTCTGACACTCAGGTAGCAACAGGTAATTGACCATGACTGAACCTGAGATTCAGCAGGATCAGACCTGTGTAGCACTTGGATGAGGGATCACACTGCTGTTGGCTTGACTGGGAAGTATTAAAAGGGGGCAAAGGCAAACCATTCTAGTAATACTGCTAAGAAAACTGTATGGCTGCAGTCACTAGGAGTTGAGCTGAATTAAGGAGGGAACTATAATTACTTAAAACACTGGAAAGCCTTTATGGACTTTTTGCTGAAAATGGATAAAAATGAACTGGTGATCTTGGGATTTACTGATTAAGAATGTTTGTTTATGGGAGGAAGGGAACCATGATATGTAATTTGGGAAGGTAGAAATGGTAATTATTATGTTTGTACCTGCTGCAAAGAAGATTAGAAGTCACTTCTTTAGATATCTTTCTTTTTCTTTTGTTCACTTTTTCTTTTACTCTTTTATACTTTCTTTTTTCCCCCTACTTTTTCTTTTATGTTTCTGTAGTTTTTTAAACCTATGTAAAATTTTCTTATAATAAAAATTACTTTAAAAAAAGGAGTTGAACTGAACTCAAGGGCATCTTACATTTTACTACACATTCAAATTAATATGCACTTGCATCTATAATATCTACATAAATCAGATGTAATGATTCCTGGATCTGTATGTTTATATCAGGCAGTTCCATAATATCCACATATTGTGAGCCAAATCAACACGTGATCCAGGCTTCCCATATTATTCTAAATAAAAATTATTCCTGCTTTCTAAAAGCAAACACATGTAAATGCAGTAGCACAACAGTAACACTTAGCAGTTAAATAGCATATTTTAATGTTTCAAACTGCAATGCAAATATTATCCTGCCTTCCTGTTGTTTCATCTAAAACAACAATTTCATTTATGTTGTCAGTAAATCGTAAGTTCAGAATTTATTCTATCATTGCACTTTTGATTTCCTAGTATTTTACACTTTTCAGTTAAGAATTTAGCCTGTATAATTGCTGCTACTGCTTTTCATATTACTTTATTGTATTATGTGGTTTTGTTTTGTTTTTTGTAGACAGTATGGTGGGACATCATATATAAATATAATATAAATATAATTAATAATAAAATCATAATCATAATGGATTTTTTAAAAAAACTACTGATTTACATTACATAACATAGATCATCGTGTACTGCAGTGTTTTATGGGTAAACACAAATCAGATATTTGTTTGTTATTTATTTGTTTGCTGGGGTTTCTATGCCTCTCTAATCCAGAGGGATTCTAAATAGCTTCTACTCCATTCTTGCAGTAAAATTAAAATAACAAAGCAGTATCACAACAAGACAACTAGCAGTAACAAAGAACATTACAAAGAAGACTATGGTCACCAAGGAAAAATAAACATCCAGACACAACCCAGAATGTGAGCTCTACCTTATACCAGATCTCCTCTGAGGGCTTTAATAAAAAGCCAATTTTTACAGCTTTCCTAAAACTCAGCAGGTTGGGTATTAGTCTGATTTCCAGAGGTAAGCTACTTCAAAGAAGATGGACTACAACTGGGAAAGCTCTTGGCCTCTATAGATGATATACCCTAAGAGAAGGACCCAAGGTGATCATACCTGACTTGATCTGAATGGACAGGTAGAAGCCACTCGGGGAAGGCAGTACTATAGACATCCAAGTCCTGAACCATGCAGGCTTTAAAGATAACAGTAAGTGCCAATGCAAGAATAGCAGTTGAAAGCAAATTGGCTGCTAGTGCAGCTCTCAAAGTAGGAATGTTATATGGGAGAAACTTATCACTTCAATCACTAGTTATATTGTGTAGAACAAATTGCAATAATTCAAATGGGAGATGACTAAAGCATGAGTGATTGTAGGATTTTCCAGTCCAGGAATGTTCATTACTTCTGTGCCAGATATAATTGTGCAAAAGTCCTCTTGACCACAGCTGTCACCTGCTCTTTGAACAGGAGCCATGAGTCCAAAAGGACTCCCAAGTTATTAATCAGTGTAACCCCACCCAGAACTAAAAATAATATATCCCTAGAGTCAGAAGGTTTATGTATCCACAGTCACTCTGTCTTGCCATTATTAAGTCTGTCCCTCCAGGAACAGGAACAGGAACAGGAACTCTACCACATCTCCTGTTTTGCCTGAGCAAAAGAAGTATAAGTGAGTATCATCTGCCTGCCTGACCCCATTTCAGCCAATGATCTCCCCCAGCCCTCTGGCACAACACAGTGGGATACCCTAGAACAAGACTTCTCCTCACAACTTCTACTGACTGGAACCTCTCTTCAGGAAGGAGGAGAACCATATAAAATAGTCCTATTCCAAGCCCTCAGAGGCAGTCCCGTAGGATACCATATGAATGGAATCAAAAGCTGTTGAGAGATAGAATGAGACTAGGAGAGTTGTACCCTCTTTCAGTCACCCACAGTAATAATCAATGTAATTTTAGTACCATGTCCAAGCCTGAAACCAGACTGAAATGCATCCAGATCATTCATTTCCTCCAGAGCCCTCCTTAACTGTAGGCTCATCACCAACCTTCTCTAACTCCCTTACTGAATTTGTATTGTGCCACAATCAGAAGAGACTTTCTTTAAAGTTATCCTAGCTGAACAAAATAGTAACATCACAATACAGGCAGTCCTCACTTAATGACCACAATAGGGACCAGAAAATTCATAGTTAAGCAGGGCAGATGTTAAGCAAGACATCATGTGACCACACCCAATTTTACATTTTTTGCGGCGATCATTAAGAGAATCACTGTGGTTGTTAAGTGAATCACATGGTCGTTTAGTGAATCATGTGGTTCCCCATTGATTTTGCTTGCCAGAAGCCAGCTGGGAAGGTCACAAATGGCAAACACATGACCACAGGATGCTGCAACCATTGTAAGTGCAAGCAGGTTGCCAAGTGCCCAGATCACGATCACATGACTGTGGGGGCATTGTGACGGTTCTAAGTTTGAGGACTGGCCGTAAGTAGCTTTTTTAGTGCTGTTGTAACTTTGAACAGTCACTAAACAAATGGTCATTAAGGGAGGACTACCTGTACTAAAGTTGCAATTATTGGCGGTTTTGTTGCTGTTTTTCAATCATGCTTTAACAGGAACATAGTATCTATCAATATGATTATACTAACTTTTTTTTTCCTACAGCTTTTCCATATGTGCTTTTAAGTTTGCTGCTGGAAAAGTATGGAATTGTGATGACATATTAAAACCATGGTGCCACTCTAGTGCTTCCACCTCCAGCCTAGAAGAACAATATGAGCCTGCCTGAATTGTTATCTTTTCAGATGAAATCAGTTGTAGTGTCAACTATATTACTGTATTTGATCAACAAACTGAAGTATAAAAGACAATACTTTTTGTCTAAGATGGGAACCAATCCTGCAGTCTTTTTTGCTCCTGGTTTCATCAGCACTTATTTGCAGGTATTTATTGAAATAAGCAACCTTAGGAGGATTTTCCTCAAAAGGCAACATATAAATAAATATGTTTGCAATAAAAAATAAACTTGAAAACTTGGCTGGAAGGAAATGCACAACTTTCATTCATCACTCCCATATTAATACTGAAGAGTTTTGCAACAGTTTTACTAACATAAACTACCATTCCATATTTCATTTCTAGTTCACATTATCTGATATTTGCACTAGCTCAAAAAAAGTTCACTCTTTCCACAGAAACATCTGTATATGGGTGCCACTCAAAGAGCAGAGAAGGAACAAAGTTAAAAATTATTTAAAATAAAATAACAGGTGGTAAATAGAAGGCTGAATTATTTAGAAAATACATAGTGCAGGTTTATTATTTGGATTTTCTTTTAATAATATGTATAAGTGAAAGATATAACATGTATATATATTATTCAATCAATAAATGAAATAAGAAATAAGAACGTACACATAATAAAGCAAAAACAAAACTCTCTCTAAAAAGAAATACACAGCTGAATAGAACAGCATGAAATGTATTTCATTATGTAAGAAAAAAAGAAAACATACCTGTTTGTCATTGGCCCTATAAAAGGGTTAGTCAGGAATTGCATAGTTGCTTTGGAAGCGAAAAGCAAACCAACTTCTACGTTTTCATTTAGCAATTCTTTGTCTTTCTTTGGGCAGTCTGAGGATGATGGAGTTGTCTTAGTCATATTTACCACCATTTTCTCTGTCTGAGCATGATAGTCATCTTCTGGCCTTGTTCCTTCAGAATTATTTCCAGTAACTATAGTCGAATTGTCATAATATGAAAAGATGCTTTGCAATCTGTTCAGGTTTACAGAAGGTGTCTCTGGTCTAATGGTTTGGACATCCGTTGCATTTTTGAGGTGTCTAATGCTATACAAATAACTGGGTATTATTGGCACTGAAAAAACAAAGAGAACAACTGTCATATAAGGGGATATGCCATAATTAAAACATCAAAAATAAACACAAGACTGTACCTTTCCTGTAATAAAATACATGAATGAAAAATTTGCTAGTTTTCAGAACTTTTTGTCAGGAAGGATGGAGGAATAATTATATTCAGTTTTATCAAAATAGCTTTATTTCAACCGAGAGGCTAGGAAAAGCAGTTTAAATGTGTTCAAATTTTGTATTGCCTGATATATGTCTCCAGGCTTTTCATTTTTCCTTCATATTTAATCATATATTATAAGTGAATTGTTTATAATTTCAGTTGTTAATTTAACGTAACATCTTTTAATATTTGCATACTACTTGAAAATGTATCATAGTCAGGGCTATTTAGTTTATAAGAAGACTGTTCTAAAGAATTTGAAAACTTAGCTATCCTAGATTGTTTCCATTTATAAAAGAATACTGATGAAGAAAAAAAATCCACAAGTTTGTTCACAAAATTATTGTAATTCAACACTCTCTCACTCTTCTACATGGAATGAAAGAATGTGTTAAGACTCATCAGTATTCAGTCCAACATAAAATTTCAACAAAAAGATTTATAGAATTGAGGAAAAATATATACAAGTTCATCCCCAATTTCCTTAGCATTCTGCAAAAGTAAGTCCCCATATGTCTACAATAGGGAAATGAATTTAAAAATGCAAACACAGCTAGAAATTTGATGTAAAAAATTATGTCTAAGCTGATTTTTGCATACTTGAGGGATATTAATATAACTATAATTTGAATGACAAAAGAAATACTTCCAATCCTTTAAAAGCGAAGGATTAAAATCATACGCACATTATGCCCTTATTCATTTATAAACTGTCCTTTACCCACAGCAGTAGTTTCCAGTGCAGGATATAAAAGTCAAATAGATAACCTAATTATAATAAAACACAGCAAACATCAAACATAAAAGCAAAAAGGCTAAAATGACAAATCAGCTTCTATAAAGTTCACCTGGAAACAAAATACTGCATATCAAAAATAACAATAACCTGGTATGTAAATAAATGCAATATTGGTACCAATTAGTTGTCCAGGAGACACCACAGAAAAGGAATGAGTTCACCCCTTCATAATAGAGTTTAAGAAACTACTGTTGTATCTTTTATACCTTTAGTTATTTGAATAAAAGAAGCTTTAAAAAAAAACCTGTTAAACAAAATATAAATAAGGAAAGAAGTAACAATGGCATTTTTGGGTCTTAATTTCTCTTAACTCCAACACAGTGTAATAAATATATGCAACCAATTGCATCTGACATTTCTTGAAGAATTTTGAAAGTAAAATCATTCTTATGTTCATTCTACAAAATAGTCTACTTGATCTCTGAAGGTAAGGAATCAAGGATATACATTTAAGGTTGGATTTAGACTGTTAATCCTCATTAACAAGAACAGGTTTTTCACATTTAAAAGGCACTTCTGGTTTTACTAATAACTCAGTAATAAGCTTCTTATTTTCTGTGAGGAACATCCCAAATTCAAAGCCCTAGAAGTCCAAGTAGCTCTAGAAAAGACTCAGATTTAAAAGTCTGAATAGTTGCTGCAATTAATAGAGATAATATTAAGGTGGATAATGTCTCCTTCATACATTCTTTATAAATGTACATAACAGAGAAGTCTTTTCCAGTCAAGGAAATTGCATACAGTTTAATAAATTACATACAGCTTAATGATTCTGTGCAAACTCTGTTCAATTTCATGTCAACCTACTTAAGATGAGATAGTGATTATTTCAGGAATCAAGGAAAAAGAAAGAAAATGAGTAAATGTGGAAATCTGTATATGATTTAAGTTCCTAACAGCATCCTAATTATATAAATGTGTGAGAAAGGAAATGAGGACTTTTAAAATAAAAGGAGGTAGGAACCTATTTGGCAGGGGATATTAATGACAAAATTATCAATCATGTACATGAATCATGTTTTGCAAATGTCTGAATCTAATTACTGTGTAAACAATCTTATTTATTCAGGAAACCTTTGAGTTGAGATAAGTGAATGGCCTTCAGCAAGTACGTAACTGAAAAACTAGTGATATGGAAATAATTTACAAAGGGATATTTCCATACTTCAAATCAAAAAGATAATTTTGACATGAAGGTAACATCAAACATATAAAAATACTAACATGTCAGAGCATCACCAATATTCTCAGGATATTGCTGCTGTTTCAGGAATCCTACTGTGTAGGGGAGCCATAAATGGCTATTTATATAGCTGTTCAAATAACCATGCTTACTGGTAGGGAAAGCTATGCAGAAAAAGGTATATTCCACCAGGAAAAGCAAGCGTAAGTGGAATAATTGGCAACACTTGACAATAAAAATAAGGAAGTGGAGTGATGATGCTAACTTGCAAAACTTAAAATCATTTGGAAATCTCTTGTCAAAGCTAGTCCTAAAACGTCCTAAAGACAAGGGAAAAACTGTGAAATTTACATGATCAAAGCCATGGATGAGCGTAACTACAGGAGAAACAGGAATACAGAAGACTACTTATTCCAATATATGAACGTCAAATGTCATTTTATAAACTATACTGCAGAGAATAATATGTAGTGAAGATTTATTTTAAATCAGAGCAAATTTAAATTGCCATAATAAAGTCCAGTTTCAACAACTGGCTATATATTTCCTGAATACATGTCAAATGTATATCATTTGACAGCTATATACAATTTCATATCGGTATAGCTGTCCCTCATATGTCTCTTCAGAAGTCAACTCCATTTAAATCAATGGGCCATATTCCTAGGTACATGTGTACAGGATTGCAAATTTAAAATATATTACTTTATATAGAAACAAATAATAACATTGCAGAAATAGCCATCTTCATTATGGTCCCTGGGAAAGGAGTGGGGGGAACAAGACCAAAAATTATTCATGTGTATGCATAATTTAGCAGAATTCAGAAATAACTGACAAACTACATTTAGGACATTAGTCAACCTCAAGAGTCTGCTGAACTATAAACATTTGGGAGGTTATTAAAATCTGACCTGCCCTTAGTGGATAACACTTATTATTCTGGAGTTTATAGTTGGAATTCTATGTTGTTTTTAATTTTTTCTTGACAATTGCATAGAAATTCTAGTAAAAAAAAAATAGAAATAAAACACTGGAGTGTATGAAAAGACAAAAACAAATAAAGAATTCTAAATGATGGTTGACTTGTTGTATACCTGGAAATTCAAACTAGTTAGGACAAACACAATTTTACATTATGTATGAACCCACCCAATGCATTTGACAGAGGGACTTACTTCAACAGTAAGAAATGGCATACAAAACTTTAACAAGGTGTTTGTTTGTTTATTTATTTATATGTCACATTTATATAGCCACCCATCTCACACAAAGTGACTCAGGGCAGCGTACAACAATTAAATAAAATAATAAGTGTATAAAAGTAACCATTATAAAAAGATAAAAAGTGATTATTAAAATGATCTGATTTAAATATCTTTATATGTATATAGAAACTGTCAATCTGGGGCATCAAATGGAGTTCATTTTTGTGTTATAGTTTTTGTTTGTTTGTTTTGTGAATGTTTTTTTCAACTTCATAATTCCTTTATTGAAGAAATGCCCCCTGTTTTGTATGAGTTCATGTCTTGGCAATCATTATATGAGCAATAAACAATAGCAGTTCAACACCATTGAATAAAAACAGAACTTTTGTGTTAGCTAAGGACAATCTTGCTTCAAACTTTCTCCAATGAATAAACAAGCAATACAAGAGGATACTAAATTTAAAATGTGGCTACAGGATAAGTTTATGTGAAGCCAACCCTTCAGTCCTTTTGGAATAAAATATTTCCTCTTTTGATGGGAATGTAGTATTTAATTCTCTGCTCAATGTTCATTACATACAAGCCTTCGTGCAAATTAATTAAATTTATTGTTGTTTCCATAATGACTAACTGTTGTGACATTAAAAACCTAAACCATCATAAAATGTAAGGGTGAAATAGCAAAAGTATCAGACATGACATACCAACTTTTTATCTTTCCTGCCATTTTGTTTTACAAAAACCACAAAGGAAGGAAATGAATGTAGTACATTGATGTGAATAAGGCTACCCAGAAACAAAGCAGTTACAATATTTTTTTAGATTTTTTAAAAATTTTTTATCCTGCCTTTATTATTTTTATAAATAACTTCCTGCCATTTTGTTTTACAAAAACCACAAAGGAAGGAAATGAATGTAGTACATTGATGTGAATAAGGCTACCCAGAAACAAAGCAGTTACAATATTTTTTTAGATTTTTTAAAAATTTTTTATCCTGCCTTTATTATTTTTATAAATAACCCAAAGTGGCAAACGTACCTAATACTCCTTCCTCCTCCTATTTTCCCCACAACAATGACCCTGAGAGTTGATTCATATTAAAAGGAACTTTTTACATACCAACTACAGTCAGCAGCATGTTGTCCAAGAGCAGAGCAATGAAGACAATCAGCAAGATTAATTTTCGGGACTGCCGACCCTCTCGGAGCCAGTTCAGCACACTGAATTCGTGCCAAGCCATGGTTTAGTTTCCCTCGAGTTATGGCTTATACAGTAAACATAAAAAAGAATAGTTTAATGTAATCCAGAATTTTAAAACTTTTTTTTTTTTTTTTTGCTTTCATGGCACTCTTTTTAAGGAAGAACATGATTCCATAATCTGCCACCACTATAGTGATGTTTGCTTCTCTTCATTTTCCTGGGTGTCACTGCTGCTTCTGCCTGGTTATTTCCTTATACTCTCTAGCTAAACAAGTGTTTTTGTTATCAGGAATAAAACCATAAATGATAACTAACATTACTCTCAATATTTCTACACAAGTTATTAAACAGAAGTTATTTGCATTTTGTTAGAGCTGACAAACACACATAAAAATAACCTGTGCAAAATCCAATTAACAATGATTTATAGATAAGAAAAATAATCTGAAAATAAAAGGAATCAACTAGACACCCAAGCCCATTAACATACAAAAAGATGCATTCAGATATAATGTTGCTGACTGAACCAATAGAAATACTTAATACCTTAAATTGGTTTCATTTACTGCCCATATTTATGTTAATCAATCTGCCTGCCTTTGCTCTAGGCAAAGAACATCAAGCGCTTATGGCTTTATTTAGAATAATCTTCATAAATAGTTTATATTAAATAATTATGTTTATTTTCCACTATCTCAAACAGACTTTCCAGGACTGAGTTAGTTTAAAACAAAATTATTCAAAACCCCAGTGCAATATACACATATTCCCCTTTTACCAAGAAACTTCCTCCTGGTTATAGTTTGTTTTCCCCCAATGCCCATTTCTAAAAATCTCTACTTTTAATTTCTCATTGTTTAACATAATGTGGCAAGTTTGCCTAAATAACAGACAACAAAGATTAACACTAAATGTAGAAAAAGATGATTACTAATATTTGACATCTCAGAACCTTGCAAGCAGCCTGTTTCAATACCCAGATTCATGCACCCACCATGGATCCCAAGTCTAATGCTACAATTCGGATTTCATTTCAAGAAGTCATAAATAGAGAGTTCACTCAAGTCTTCCTTTTTTTAATAGGGAAAACCATGTCACACAAAAAACCTAAGCGTGTACAAAGGGTTCCTATAATCCCACGTACAGAAATAAACCCTAAAATTCACCCCAATCAATATTTACTTCTATACTAATTGACACAGCATCAGCACAATTATTTTTTTTCAGTACACATGCAAAGATCCGTATGTTCGGTTATAAGTGGTGGCACCTGTAACCCTGCATGAATTTTTGTCATTGTCCCAAATAACAATATAATATAAAGCTACAAGCACATAAAATGACTTTCATACATACTATTACATCATATTCTTTCTTAGAAATCACTATGTTTTTATTCCTAGTTTTTCACCATTAATGCAGACTTCCTTTCAATTATTAAAACAGATATATGAAGAAACAGACCTGTCTGGAAACCAACCTGCTTGTTTTGGAAGTATCTCTATATATATACACTCTACATATATTTCTTGCTGTTTCCATAATGCTCCATAATCATCATATATACTACATATACATATGTATTCCCTTCAGCAATGAGCATTCTCCCTCTCTCTCTCCCTCTCTCTCTCCCTCCCTATACATACATAAATACATACATACATAAACATATATATTAAATACTCATTGCTGAAGGGAGTACAGCTCTTTTTGCTCAGAAAATCTCTCTTCCAGGTCTGAATTCCAGTACTGAGAACAGGTTCTAAGGATGAACCCCAATTCTTATATACATCTCTACATTGTTTCTGTTATTCCTTCCCAAATGCATCCAAAAACACACAAGTCCAGAGTACTCTGCCTCCAGATTATTCCCTTGCTCCTGGATTGAGAGGTTCCCTACCTCCCACGTTTCAGTGACATTAAATGCACACACAGATTCTAGAGGTACCACAATTTGTATGACATAAGCCTTGGTGGAGCACTGTCCACTTCATGTGATGCAGGGGATGAAACAGGAGTGCCATTCCTGGGTACATCTCGAGGCATTGCTCCATGCAGGCGATGACAATCTTGTCCACAAAAGCTAATTTATTCGTTTGTAAGGTGCCATTAAGATACCTTATTGGTTTGGCTGCAATCACAAGAGCCATAAACTTTCTTTTGCGGAGGGCGGGGGGGGGGGCCGGGTTGAAGCATAGTA